TTGGCAAGGGGAGGCTGAGGAGGAGTTTGGTCTCCTTTGTTTAAATTCCTTTTTTCTTCTGTCACGAAAGTCAGGCCTACTCCATCCATCACAGGTTTGGCCACTTAACCCTTAACACCACAGTAATAAATATAAATGATCTCGAATTTTTTCTACATGCAAGCCACCGTACTAAGTGCTGTATATATATTGTCATATTTAATCTCCATATTATTCCTATGAATTAGGTTACTTTTATATAGATGAGGAAATTCCCATCTCCCTAAGAGTAGAAGACTTTTCTAGCATGGTATATATTTTCAGTATGGATAGACATCTTTCCTTTCCTCCCCTCTTGTAAACTGTGGACTACCTATGAGACCTCTTTAGTCATGTTTTCTCATGCCTCTGTGGCTTCATGGATGCTTCCAAGCTTACTGGCTTTGGAGTCTTGCACAGGTAAACATCCTACTAAGAGCTGTAACTGCTCTTTCTACCCCTCCATGGTGGGATGGGGGTAGGAGGAGGGCTTTAAAACAGCGAGGATCTTGAAGCCCTTTTGGAGGGCTCCAGTTATGCAAGAGCAGAGGAGAAAAGTGATGAAATGCGCCAAGGCTCTCTTCAGAGAGAAGGCTTCCTGGATGTTGCTGCTCCTGGTATGTTTTCTGCTGTCATAGCTCTAGGATTATTCCCTAGAGCCATAGACACTATGACGAGAGCCAACTGAATCAATGTGAGGAGAAGGGTTCTGATATTAAGGGTATTTCCTTCCTCCTACACTTTGCCCTTGAGATCAGGACCTTTCTCCTCACATTAACTCAGTTGTCCCTCTTCATAGAATCTACAGGTCATTTACTCCAGAGTGTGGAGACGTTGAGGAACCAGCATCAAGTAAAAAAGTCTCCTGCCTAATCTACCTCAGTCTCACTCCTAGGAAAGCTAACTCACTCCAGCTCCAGATCTCGGGTTAATTTCTTTAATTCCATTTCTGTTCCTTAGGTCTAGATTGGAACAATTCTTTAATGTCATCTACACAAGGCTGGGCAATACTTCCTTGGACACCCTCTTACCCATTCCAAGCTCTCACCCCCAGCCACAGAAATATCTCATAACTGATCAGTCTCCTCTCCTATTTTTCAGCTTTCAAATAGGCATAGATCAAGTTCAGCTTGACTTGGTATTAGCCCAAACATGTTATTCATTTTGGACCTCAGCTTTGACCTTTGGAAGGCTGAATAGCCAAATGCCTATTTTAACATTATTCCCGGCACCCCTAAACTTGGCTGTGATCAAGATCATGTGAAAGAATAAGGAACTGTCAAACTGAATCAGCGAAAGCATCAGTAATGAGAACAAAGCAGGTCATTTCAATTTATTATTAAATATCTGAAGAATCACTTTCAAATAGTGGTGAGCATTCTATGTGAAACTTGGAGTGAAATTTTCTTTAAGAACTTTTTAAATGTTAAAATTCCATCAGCCAGCGGAAGTATAAATGTATATTTATTATTTTAAGATAAATGCTGTAATAATTAATGGTTATGAAAGCTTATGTTGTACATGAAACAATTACTAAGAATTTTCACATAGTTAAAAATAGAAAAATTAGTTGACAATTAATATAAATAATAGGAGAGAGTATATTAGCTGGATAATTTTAGAAAGAACTTTATAAGCTTTTTCAGCCCAAAGTATTTGTAACAATTTAATAAATAGTAGAAACACTATTTAGTTTAACAGATAGTATAAGGCAGAACAATAAAAATTAGATTATGTTATAATTCTATCTATGATTTCATTATATCATAATCTTTGAAGAATTGATTAGTATATTAGCATTTGTCATGTTAAATAAAATAATCCTTAAGAACTATACTTTTGGGGGAAGTAGACAGGGAAAAAATTTAAATCATTTTTTCAATTAAAAAAATAAAAATAAATAAATAAAGAACTATACTTTTTAGGAGGATTTTTTTATTGAGATATAATTTACATACAGCGAGTAAACCGCTTATATACAGCTCAGAGTTTCACAAAGTAAATATTTTCAGGCGAGAAAGAACATGTCCAACTTACCTCTCACCCCTTGCCAGTTAGTACTCTCCAAGGTGGTTTCTACCTCTATCCGCACAGATTACTTTTGGATTATGTTTAATTTTTAGATATTTAATACTATTTAGGTCAGAAGTCTTTCAAGAAAAAGTCCTGTTTGGAAATTCTTCTCATTTTGAGAGGATACATCAAAAGCATAATTTTAGCCACTTCAAAATTTTATGAGGAGAATGTCTTCAAAACCATAATATCACATAAGGAAAATCATCAATAAAGAATGTATAAAGAGTTGTGAAAAAAGAATAAAGTGAAAAGTCAGCTATGCCCAAGTATTTTGCACCTCATTTGAAAATCTATTTAGAATGATAAGTGTCTAGCATAGTGACCACAGGATATAGATTTTACACTCAGCCATTTGGTCACAACAGATAATTTGTGTACCTCTTATTTCAAGCCTCTATGATGTATTTAGTGCATCTCTACTTTCAAGACTTATCAACTTATTGGCCCCACACTCTGCTTGAATTGTTCAATGTTCTCTTCTCCTTTCTTTTGATTATCCCTTCTTTACCTTCTCACCTGTCATCTCAAACCACCCATCCCACCCAATAGGACTCTCTGTCTGCAGACTTGCCCTCTAACTGACTCATGAACAAGGTAGTCGCAGAAGAAAGCCCTCAAAGCAAACTAAGTGGGGTATATTGGTCTGCATGTTTGCCAAAGGTGGATATGACTGGACAGGGATAATTCTAATACTACTGCCACTGCTATTACTAATTGTCATTATTATTGAATGACAGTGCCTGGGGCTGACTAAGGCTCCATAAAAGTCATTTCTAAATCTCCCCACAATCATGTTGGGTAGGTGGTATTACTCCCATTTTGCTATATGGAAGCACAGCTACAGAGAGGTTTAGTCGTTTTCTGGAGGACACGTAGCCGGCAACTGCTGAGCCAAGATTTACACTCAATTCTTTCTGGCTCCAAAGCTTCCTCTGACTCTGGTAAGAAGTAAAGGAGAGCTAAAATTGTTAGACAGGATAGGCAGAGAGTAGACTCCCCAGCCGGGAAGGGAAGGTCTAACAATTTAGCTGGGTGCTGAAGGAAGGGCAGGCGGGATTGGTGTGGGATGGGGCGTGGTGCAGTTTGTCTGGGACTGAGATAAAGGAAATGGGAAGGGGCTGGTGAGGGTCAGAGTGGCAGGCAATGTGGGAGGGGCTATTAGGACCACGGCAACAAATGGCCATAGTTTCTCCAGCTCTGCTGCTAGAGAGGGAGAATGGTATCTGTGGCCCAGGGGAACAGGGAGGTGGCATTTCCATATCTCAACCTCGATGGCCTGGGAAGAGTGCCAGAGTAGAGAGTCAGGGAAGCACCGAGGCAGAAGAGATGACTATCAGGAGGAAGGAAGCTCTGGCAGCTCCCACCAGCCTGTTTGTGACAAGCAGGTTCTGGGTCAAGGAAGTCTCTTGAGGTCAGGGGAAATGTGACCTGGAGCAGGAGGATAAAGCTGGGACACTCCCCTTACCCTATGCCTTCAGGCCAAGGGGATCTAGCCAGAGCCAGGCCCAGGTCCCACCCAGGTTGGAAAAGCAGGGGGCTGGAGAAGGGGGGGTGGCAGTTAGAGAGGCAGAAAGACGAGAAAGCAAGAGAGAATGAATTAAAATCCCTGAAGCACCTTATAAACAGTATTTTGGCTAGAGAGGCAATGACCTTTTTGCAGTCAACACAGGGTAACTGGCTCTTCAGGACTCACAGGGTACATTTCTTCATGGGTGAACTCGTACCTAGTTCTCCTCTCGTCCCTGAAGAGGTCTCTCCTTCTTTTGCCCAGTGGTAAAGTAGAAAGTGCACCATATGTAGAATGAGGAGACATAGGTTCAAGTCCAGGTGCTGCTACTAACCAACTTCACAAGCTCTTTAATTAATTAAGCTTTATGAAATCTCAATTTCCTCATCCTTAAAGAAAGTGTCTTTAAATCTATTTCACAAGGGACTCGTGGCTACACCATGGAAAGCATGAAATGCTATATAAATATGAAATGGTACTTTGTCTTTTTATTCCAGCACCTCTCTGCACAGAGACCACCTCACTAACACGTCAGAGTTGGGGAAGATTTCTAGTTTAGGAAAAGGAACAGCTCTGTTCATAAACCCCACAAAACTCTCTTATATCTATTTCCTCCTCTCATGCTGCCATGATAAGATGGGGCAGCAGAAAGATGTAAAAATCTGCCCCCACCCCTGCAGCCCCTTTCTTGGTGGGGATAAGTTTCTGGGAAAAGAGCAACAAAAAGGTGAAAGACCATCTCTTCTGGAGCTTAGCCCACTGAGGTATTGACCTCAGCTTCCCCTCAGCCATTCAAAAAAGCCTGAGCTAGGAAGGCCCCCAAGAGATGAAGGGAAGAGGACCTTCTGTGCATATGAGGAGAGAGGGGCGGTGGAGAGGCCTGGAGGAGAAATTAAAGCACAGCCCCAGAGTAAGGAAAGCTAGAAACCTAACGGACTTTGTCCAAGTGCACAGGAACCAGGTGGAATTTTCCAGAGTCCCCTTTCTGGCGACGGTCACAGGCTATGACGTAGGAAGCACGCATTTTCTTCTCTTTGTACCTGCAGTTTGGGTAGTTCTCCGAGGTGATCTCACATGTGGTCAGGGACACAGGACCTCTGCTCTGGTGGCAGTTTTTATGGACATTATCCTTGCAAGTTATGGTGGAGGTCTGACAGGTGGCAGCCACACTGGAGAAAGATTCATGCAGGAAAGTGTTGAGACTTTTGCAGCGTTTTATGTGCTTGTTGATGTTGCCCATCGCTGCGTTGCAGCCCTTGGGGCTGGGTTGCACGTGCTGAGTTTCAAACCATTGAGCTGAGGTCATGTGTTTGGGCTTGGCACTGACTGGGACCTCGGCCATCCACAGCCCCAACAGCAGGAGCAGCAGCAGAGGGTAGCATCCTGTTCTGGCTGGCGCCATCTCTCTTAGGGGGAATAGTAGGAATGAAGAGTTGGGATCACTGGGGACAGAGAGCAGGTGGTGTTCAGTTGAGAAATGAGCCTTCCTATCCCTGCTCCTTCTAGCTAACCACCACCTCCCTCCCCTCTTTCACCCTGGGTCTCATTCCTTCCTCCCCATCTTATGCCATATCTACTGTGACCCCAGCACCTAGCCTTAGGTCCCATCTCCTTTACCTTGTATACCCATCTTCTTTCATTCTGTCACTCTTGCTGCCCACTCTGTTCTATCTCCTCTCCTTCAGGTCCCATGTTTGTGTCCCTATGTTCCTATCCCTTTCCCTGTGTCTCATCCCCTCCATGACCCAATAACCATCTCCTCCGTATCCCCATTTCGTGCCTCCATGCCCTCGGCATCACTCTCCTCTCTCCCCTATGTTTGTCCTCATCCCCTCGACACTGAGTCCCTTCCTTTGTCCATCTTATCGCTCACCTGGGTGTACTCTTAATTGATCAGAACCCGTCTCTTCTCTGTCCTATCTCATCATCCATGTCCTGCCACCCGCCTCACCTCCTCACTGAGTCCTTGCGAGGCCCACTCCTGCTCAGCAGACTGAGGGTGCGTCTTCCACCGCTGGGTCTCAGCTCTCTGAGGGCCTCTTCTGTCTGCCTGACTCCTTAAGAGCTGGCCTGCGCTATATTGCTTCTGTTTGGGGGCGGGCTGGGGAGCAGTCCTGGAACAGGAAATGAATCAGGTTCATACCTCTCCACGCATAGGTCCCAAATAGCCAATACCTACAGAGCTAGTGTACTTGCCTAAACATGTTTGGCAATGAGGAAGCTTGAATCCTCACACTCAAAGACTAGATTTAGTCCCTGGCCACATGATCTTAATGACTCTAATAAAGCACCTGACCTAGGTGTCAACCCAAAATAAATTTTAGGGAGAGTTGTCATTTATCTCCTCCTACGTAGTCTCTGGTTCATGATTCTGGGAAGAGTCAGTCACTGTGGTGATAAGGATTGCTTTTTCTCTGACTTGAGATTCGGATAGAATAGCCTGGAAATTTTCTTTGTATGGTTTCTTGTCACCAGGATTTACTGTTACCTTACAGTAACAGTAGAGAGGCCACGTAAACTATCTTTATGATGAGGTTTGTGTTCTTGCCCAGAAGTTCAGGTTTCCAGTCAGGAAGATTTGGGTGTTTATTTTGAGGCCAAGAGGACATTGGTTTAGTAGATAGCACAGTTGTGGGTCAGGGCGAAGGATCTTTGGAAAAAAAGTGGTGTTGGAGATGAGAACCACCACTAGATGGCAACAGAGAGCCAGGAGCAAGTTCACACAGGCCTCCAGCTTTTCTGGTTCACCCTCAGTGAGGCTTTCCTTGGCTGTGGGAACAGCATTCACTGCTTTGTTAAGCTGCCTGAATCTCTGCAGTTTGAACTTCTGGATGGAGAATTATGCCTCTCATGCTGTAGGAATGCAAATGTGTGGAGATAAAATCCATGGTTTAAAGCAGATTGTGGATAGAATGCAGATCAGCACAGGCCAGTCCAGCCCTGGACTGGAGGTAGGGTTAGATGAAGGGGTGGGAGGCCAAGAGCTCATTTGAATTCCTAGCCCAGACTCCTTCTCACTTCTCATTATTCTAGAGTGAGATGTTTCCAAACCACGACTTGCACTGACTCTTGTGTTTTCCTGTCATTTTAATTCTTCTAGTTTGCTCTTCAACTCCATTAGGCCGGGTTCTCCAGATGGCTGCCTTAGTGCTATGTGAGAGTAAAATATCCACAGCCCTATTGTCTCAGGTCAAAGGAAAGGGAGAGTAAAGATTTAGGTTCGCACGCAAAATTTGAGGCGTTGAATCTACCACTTGCCCAATTCAAGCTAAAATGCTTACTTTGCCTCAATTTGAATAAGGCAGGCGATTTGATTTATTTGCTTAAATTATCCAGCTTCCAAGATCTGCTTCATTTTGCTCTTGGTAAATTTTTTTTTTTTACATGTTTGGGGCAATAGGAAAAGATAATGGGATGGGGAGACAAGGTTAGGGAGAACAGAAGGAATCAGACGGAAAGCCAAAGACTGGTGTGGGACTCTGGTGGAAGAGAGAAGAGAAAATTTAGAGAAAGGAGAGCAGAAGACAAAATGATAGGAGAGAAGATGGGAGGGAAGAAAACCCCTCACACAAGCAGCCTCTATCCAGGGATATGAGGTCGTTACCCTAACCTTCTTCTCATTATTAGATTGCCACAGTCATTGCTCTTGGCCCAACTTCTTCCCAGGCCGCTGGTGTGTGTGCGTGTGTGTGCGTGTGAGTATGTGTGTGCGTGTGTGTTTAAATTCATTGGGGCGGGTGTTGTGAAAATCTTAGCAGTGCCAGGTGGACCTCTGCCTGTCTTCTCCACAAGACAACAGCTGCTGCTTCCTCTAGCCTGTGCTGAGTGGGGATGAGGGGGGCTGGGAGAGAGGAGAGCTGGGCCTGGATTGGTGCCCACCCTTCAGAGCCCAGCCTGTCTCTTTTCCGGAGTTCCACACAGCCTCTGGATACCAATGGAAAGCCCATGAGAGTTTCCCTCCAAACAGGAGCAGATATGAGCTCTGTTGTCCTAATTTTGTAGCTCCTAGGATAAATAAAGGTAATGGGCTCATTTTTGTCGAATGGGGAAAGTGAAACAAACAGCAAATTGGGGTCAGATGTGGAACTTGCTTTGGGTCTTTGAATTCTCATGACCTTTTCTAGAGCAGCTGTGGGTCTGGAGGCAGCAAGGACAGAAGGTTGAAATCCTTGGCTCTGAGACCAATGTCTATAGGCAAGCTAGGATGTAGGAGAGGGGAACTTGTTTTGGGTCCGAGACCTCCCTTATGAGAGGTCTCATAAGCCATGTCAGCTCTCCAGTTATCAACAGAATAAAATATAAATTCCTTAGCCTGATGTTCAAGGTCTGCCACAATTTGACTAACATGTCTTTCCAACTTTATCTCTGACTCTTCTTCCACTGAGTGCCTCAACCTTAGCCAGGCTGGTTGTCTCTCTTTCTCAAACATACCTTTCATAATTCTCTTTATCTCCACTTAATCCCCAAGGTCCCAAGATGGTTTCTACCCGCCAAAACTTGCTCTGATCCTCCCAATTCATAGGGATCTTTCTCACCTCTAAATTCCTACATTTGCTGTCTTCAAGACATACGATTTTCTGCCTTAAACCATTGGTTATTTGTTCATATATATTTATCATTTTCCTCCAATTTAGACTGTCAATTCTCAGAGGACAAGGACTATCTGTTACGCTTCTTTTGTACCTCCTATAGGACACAGTATAGTGTCTTACAGATAAGTGACCTTAACTGATTCAGCTTCTGGTTTAGAGGCATTCACTCTGCCTCTGAATGACCCCAGCCCCAGGTGAGACCATGACCAACCCATGGTGTTGGTTAGTAGATCGAGGAACTGACAATGCAGTTCTTAGACTTCAACCCTGGGCTTGAGGTGAAGCTCTGAGAAGTTAAGATGTCTGAAGCAATCCTTTGGGTTCAAGGACAGTCCAGGAACTATCCGCGACACAGTATGCTGTTTGAGTAATTCAAGTTGGATGAGGCAAAAAGTGATGCCACTGAGATGAGGTGAGCTCACTCGGGGAAAAGTCTCAGGGTTCCTCTCAATCATAGAAAATCACCCATGCACCTGGCACTCTAGCCAGCTGTTCTAGAAAAGCTTACCCTTGGGGAAGGGAGGAGAGAGAATGTATAGATAACTACCTGCAGAGGGTCACCTTTATGGAAAAAATAACTCAAAATTGTTTCAGTGGTGAACTATCAGTACTCCTTTTGCTGATAGAAAAACCAGTACCGTTGTAAGCAAAATCTAACAAACATGTTTCTAAGTCCTGGATATTTACCAATCTTTTCTAATATATAAGGTGTAAGTAAGTCTACACTTGTTTGGAAATCTGATTCATTGGACCAGTGTTTCTCAGTCTCAGCGCTATTTACTTTTTAGTGTGGATGATTCCCTGTTGTGGGAGCCATCTTGTGCAATGTTGGAAGTTTAGCAGTATCCCTGGCCTCTACCCACTAGATGCCAGTAGCACCTTCTAGTTGTGACAACCAAAAATGTCTCCAGATATGACCAAATTGTGGCCGCCCCCCCCCCACCCCTTGAGAACCACTGAATTAGATTTATGATCTTTAGCAAGCTGCTGTCCCTCTCTAAAACTTAGTTTCTTCATCTCTAGGGTAATTTTTTTTGTGTTAAGTCCATTGTAATGGGGTAACAATTCCACGAATCTCAGGCTTAGGGAGCAGATGAAACCATGGCAAGGATGTCAGAATGGAAGAAGCAATCCTGTGGATCAACACCTCTAGGATAGAAATTTAAAGACCAGACCACCAGGATGGCAGTTTGAAAACCAAAGGCCCATGGCACAGTCAGCCCTTGTCCTGGCCCTGTGTTCATGCCTTTGTAACATATGTTCATACGGTGTGTCATCCTATTGAATTGTAAATTGAATCTGGACTGTCTTATTTACTTTTGTATTTCCCCCCAAATTTGTCATAGTGCTTTTCAATGATATTTAAAAATTAATTTTTATAATATATTTTAGAGTAATCAAAATGAGGTATGGCTAATAACAGAAAGCTTTGCAAAGATGAATTTTAAGTCAAGTATTAGAGGGGGCTCTAATTGGCAGAGTGGGGATGAAAAAGGTCACTTGGCTCATTGGGAGAATGAAAGAGGCTTTGCGGTGAATCGGGAGAAAAAAGTGAGTTGGTGTAGAACCTGGAAGACCATCCCCAGTTATCCATTTATATATTATTTAATGGTTAAAAGGCACTTTCATGCTGACCATCTCATTTTATTCTTATAGCCTCATGAGATAAGGAAGGTTTTAATGCCATTTTATAGAAGAAACAGACACTCAGTAGGTTATCCGATATCAAGTCCTGAACTCTTTACAATGTGCTCTTCCATTTCTGTAATTGTGTGTGCAGAGGTGAGTGGTGGTGGGTGGGTAGTGAATGAAGGAGGAGGAAGACCAAGAGGCATGAAGGGCCTCTTCTTCTTTTCAGGGAAGCTGCTGCCTTGAACATATAGGGAAGAGGTGGCATATGCTTTGAGGTGGAGACCACACAGTAGTAAACTTCCTTAAAACAAAGACTTGAGTCAGCTAGGCTCAGGCACAACCCTGCACAAGCTCCCACTCGGTATTGGCTTGTAGACTAGCCTGAAGGACACAGATGAGCCACCTGCCTGTGCAGGCTTTACTCTCACTTGCTTGGCTGTGCACACTTCCCTGGGGAGGACTTCCATCCAAGCAGAAGCTTCTTATACAGGATCTCTGGGCTGAGTCTCCACTGAGTCTCCACTGAGTCCACTGAGCTAGCTCAATGGACTTAATGGGGGTGAGAGCAGAAGAGAAGGGCAGATTCAGGGTGGAGGTGATGACATGAACAAGGACAGTGAGGTGGAGTTGGCGCCCAATGGGGGAAGCAGACAGACACGGAGTTGCAGCTGGATGGGGACAGGTCATGGAAGGTCTTATATCCTCTGAGGCACAGAGTCTTAACCAGAATTGGAGTGTGTGTTGTCCAGGAAGGGAAGAACCTAAGCAGGGAAAGAAAAAGAAATGGAAGGGATGGGTTTAGGAAAAGTTTAGATAAGATTGCCAGGGCTGAATAACTGATGGACTCATGCTCATATTGAGTTTCATCATGTGCCAGGCACTGGGCTAAAGGCACTTGACATACACTTTAATGAATTCTAATACTGCCACAAGGTATATATAATATTACTCTCATTGGCAGATGAAGAAATTAAAGTTTATAGTATTTTAGTAAACTTAGATTGATGGTGTACAGCCTATAAACAGCAGAGCTAGGATTCAATTTCTGGTCTGTTTTACTCAAAAGCCTGCTCTTATCTACCATGTAGACGCTGCCTCCCCACAGACGGGATTAGGGAGAGGACAGGCTCTAGGATCGCTCTCAGATTTCTTGTGTAGGTAACTGAGGAAGTTGAGATAGACAACACAAGAGGAGAAGCAAGTTGTGAGAAGGACGGGTTCAGTGTTGGACTTATTTGTGCTGTCAGAAAGAGCAAGTTAGGGGGGCTGTGAATGAGGAACACCAGTACACCTCTCCGTACCCCCTCCTGATTTACACGTTGGTCTTGGAGCACTCAGCTTTCTGCAGTCTGACTCCCCCGCTCCAGCTCTCCAGGGAGACTGTGGTAGGCTCTCCTGAGAGGAAGCCCACAACCTGGATCACAACCTGCAGGGAGACTGGGCTGAGAAGCCTGTGGAAGTCAAGGACTGTGGCTGGCAGGCTCTAGGGAGCTGGCTCTTTGCTTGTGATGAAGGGGCAGGGGTTGACGAAAAAGAAAGTTGGGAGCCCAGCCCTTTCCCAACATGACCATCAGCAGCAAAAGTCGGATTCATTGAGCTCAGATAGCCCACACCCCGCTCAAAGTCAAGGCTATGCTGTCTAATGACCTGACAAGTTTGGGGCTTCAGGGTCAGCATGCAAAAATTTCCAGGTGTGTTCGGACTCCAAAAGGGCCTGAGGATAATTACAGGTGAGGGAGTTGTGTGACCGCGTCATTGTGATTGTTGTGAAGTAAATGATAGGGACTGTGGGGGTCCGCAAGACCACGTCTTGGATTCTCAGTGCAGCACTCTGGTGGGAGGTCCTTGCATGTGCTTGGCCTCCTGGGCTCCTGTGAGTGGGACAAGAGTGTGGCAGATGCTCTGCTCTCTAAGGGTTAGGAACAAGCAGCGCTTTGTTCCTCAGAAACATGACAGTGCTTTTCTTCTTACCTCTTTATAGGAGAAAGCCCACGGACCAGAGAAAGCATTAAAGCCCAAGAATTTAGGGACTTCTGGCAAGGAGTGTGGGACTGAATGTTCTTATGACACCAGAAAGGAGGAGACCAGATAGCAATGTCTCTTTCCTTCCTCCTATTCAACCCCCTCAGCACAGAAGCTTCTCAAATTCAGGGGACGTTCCCTCCTCCCAGACTGGCCTTTAACCAGAAACCTGTTCAGCCTCTTCTCACCTTTGGGCAGTCTTTGGCTTCAGGCAAGAAGAATCCCTGCCCCCTGATGTGTTCATCTTCCAGCTCCTGTCCTTCTTCCAGAGCAATCAGAGAATCATAGCTCAGCCTGTTCCTTCTATTACTTCTGCATTTTTTACCAGAAGGGTTGACTGGGGCCAGAGATAATTGAGAAGAGTTGCTTACCCAAGCGCCATTTGGACCTCTTATTCTGTAAGTATTACAACTGATGGACTGGGTGAGGCTGAGACCATAGGTGGACTAAGGGGTGGGGGTGGGGGGAATGGCTGAAGGTGGCTGACTGGCTGGGTGACCTTAGGCAAGTGTCTCCTCTCTCCGGAGCATGAGATCTAGGGCTGGATGATCTGTGAGATACAGTCCAGCTCTTATGGCGTAGGAGAAGGCACACAGGGAAGGCTGGGGGAATGCTGGAGGCTCCGGGAAGGAGCAGCCAGCCACTGTGGGCCCACCTCTGCTACAACACCATAACTCTACCTGCAGGAAGAATGGCACCAGCTGCAGCCTGGCTCCTGTTACTCCAGCTGAGTCTAGAGCCAGCTCTGGTCATGAATATCGGGCTACAGATGGCCATCAGAAACTTCCGCATCTTAAACATTAACTATCCCAAGGTTAAGTACCCAGTGGATTTCCAAGGCTACTGTAATGGTATGATGTCCTATGTGCGGGGCAAAAAGCAAGATTGGTATTGCCCAGAGACCCATTATGTGATACACGCCCCCTGGAGAGCCATCCAGAAGCTCTGCAAGCACTGTGAGAACTTCTGTGATAATTACAATCAATATTGTACAGTCACAAAGGACTCCTTACCCATCACAATCTGCTCTCGGATCACCAAACAGCCACCCCCCAGCTGCAGCTACAATGGCACCCTAACCAACCAAAGGATCTATCTGCTCTGTTCCCAAAAATATGAGGGTCAACCCATAGATATCATTGGCACCTACTAGGAAAAGGAGGGTTTGATCCTGAACCACCCCTCATTGCCACCACAGACCAGCTGTCCCCTTTGCCAAAACCCTGATTCCTGGTACAAGGCTTTCTCCCTGACTTTGAAGGCAGGCAGGGTCTCCTCCCAAGAGACCAGGGAGGTGAGAAAAATGTCCAGAGCTTTGGTCACCATATAAAGTTATACTGTCTTCTGGCTCTTCCCAACTTGTTTCCGCCCCCACCCCCACATGCCCCCCCCTCTTTTTCCCACAGTTTTACCCACTCAAGAAGCTGTGTCCATTTGGCAGCGATCGTCTATCCGCTAGGCCAGATCTTGATTTCTGGATGGAGGTCCCGAGCCTCAGCTCACACCATGGCAACAGGCACTCAGCTCTATGTCTCAACTCCCCACACCTACCACCTTTCTCTTCTCTGTCTTCCTCATTTCCTTAGGATTCCCTCCACTCACTCACCCATACAATGGGTGTCTCTTTCTATAGGAATAGCCCTGAAACCCTTAGGTTCATTTTAGACTCAGTTCCTCAGAACCCCGCTCAGTTCCCAGTCTGCTTCTCACTATGAAATCATGGATCTTTTCTTCATGTTTTTTCCTCCCTCCTTCTGCCATGGAGCCCAGTGCAGTCTCCTCGACACTCCCAGCCTCCTTGAGTCACCTGTCTTCTCCAACCTCTTTCCATTCTACCATTTTCCCCTGGCTCACTGGAGTTTCAGGTTAATCTTCTTTGACCTATCCCCCACAAAGATTCCTGCATCCTATTTCTTCCCTAAACTCCCAATGTCTCCCAAACTCTAGGATCTGCCACCAACAAGATGGGTGAGATGGCCTAGCTGTAGTCACAGAAGGTTTTAAAACCACATCTGAGTTATGTATCACCATTGGATGAACCTGGGGGATGGGTACATGGAATCCCTCTGTACTATTTTTGCATCTTCCTGCGAATCTATAACCATTAAAAAAGAAAAAGATAAAAAAGACATCTGACTCAGTTCTGACTTCATTTTTTCCCCCTCAGTGCACGAGAACTCCTACTCTCGGAGTCCTGGAGGCCACCCACCTCCAGCCATCTTCTTGGTCTACTTTTAGCAGTCAGTAGGACCTTCTGTTCCATGTGAACCATGATGGAGTTGTGGTGGGGTAAAACTCACTTCCAGCTGGGTGTTGAAAATGGATTCTCCTTTCCCTCAGCTCTAGAACAAACTTGTAGTCGGGTTCAGGCTAAGTAGATCTTTGGACCACCCTACCCGACTTCTATTTCTCCCCCAATAAAACCCGGATTGCAACAGATTAGGAAGGTGGACGGACAGGGGTCTGGTTGGTGGCATCTGGGACATCCTATGTCAAATCAGGAGTTGCTACTTCCCTTTGGCAGGTAGAGGGGAGTGGATAATAACAGTAATGTGAATTCAAGTGGCAAATACTTTTGCCTCCACATCTAGTTCGCCTCTTATCTCCAATTATATTCCTCAGCCCTGATCTTAGAAGCGGTTGTTGAAGGGAATGCTAACTTATGGCTTGGAGGCATCAGGCTAAGTAAGGCAAAAGATGGCGAGCTAGAAACCCTGAGTCCTTGGGCTTTCTCTTCTCTCCTCTCTCTACAGCAACGGGTCCATCCATCTCACCCTGGTAGAAGACAGAGCTCATTAGCTGCTGCACACACAGATGTTTATTGTTCCCCAAGCTCCCTGGTGTTAAAGATGCAGGGTCAAGGGCTGGCAGGTTAAGATGAGGCTACTCCCTAGTGGTCCTTCTTATCATAGGTGCCAGCACCCTTGTAGCCACTCACATAACCTGAGTTGTCGGTCATCTCTTCCCGTCCTGCGATGCCTTTGCCCTTGCCACTCTCATCAAAGCGCTCCTTGTGGGTGCCGGTGTACTTGCTGGTATCCGTCAGCCGGCTCACTCCACCAACGGTTGTTGCTTTCTGTAAGCCAGAGGATCATGGGTCTGATCCCTCTCCCTCCTCCTCCACTATCACACCCCTTCTCTAAAGATGGCCTTTGATTCTGCTGGTGTTCTACCCATGGCGTGGTGCCACCTTTTCAGGGCCCATGTGGCTATGGGCAGGAACTGTGGCAAGAGCTACCTACTTGTGAGGGAGGAAAAGTCTGGTGTGTGGGAGTGAGTGAAACGTGTGTAGATTTTTCTGCTTTATTTTGACCAGGCTTCAGCCAGAAGACTTCAACCCCAGACTCAATAAGCAATGTCCCTCCCACTGGGTACGTCCTATTTGAAACCTAGAGTAGAAAAAGCTTTTAGTAGAGAGGGGACAAATAGAGAACAGAGAGTAGGCGAGAGGCAAGAAGTCAGAGATTAGACCTTTCACAAGAGCAGGAAGAAGAGTGGGGATCAGGTACGAAGTCCTCTGCACTCTGTGTCCACCAGGCCCTAGTTGCTTGGCTCAGATACTGGACTCTTGGGAATGAGTCTAAATTTTACTATTAAAATAGCCATGGGCCTTGGGCAAGTCACTTCTCCTCTCTGGGCCACAGTTTCCTCATTTCTGAAATGATTGGATGATCTCTAAAGTCTGTTCCAGTACCAACAGTGCCCCAGAGGCTTTTTGCCCTGCCTCCCTAACCTATCACTTGGCAGGTGTCAGGGTCATCAGAGTGTGGGAGAGGAGGTGGGAGCAGCAGGGATTTAAGGAAGCAGGGTTAAGTATTAGGGATGAAGAATGTCACTCACAGTAACACCAGTGGTAGCTGGATCCTTGCCCTCCATGAGTTTATAAACGTTCCCCAGGGCTTCATCTGGGTTCTTCTCTTTGAACCGCTTTTGGCCCAGTTCCTTCATTGCCTCCTGGAACTGTTGAAATGTGATGGTTCGGGCATTCTTGGCCCTAGTCAGACAAATCCAGGGACTCTGGAATATGAACTCATTACCTTCTAAGGTCCAAACCTCCCTTTACTCAGACTTGGCCACCTAATGTCTTGAGGACAGGGAATAGACAGTGCCAGGTACCCGGTAGGTGCTCAGTAGACCCGTTACAAATGTTCCATCCCACGAACCCTTCCATGTCCCACTAGTTTGCTTGTTCTACTCACCACCCCCACTCCCATCTTTGGTCCCTTACTTGACTTTGCTGAATACGATGTCCACATCAGTGGAAGTGACCAATTTGCCATCCATGATGCCACAGTCTTTACACAGCTTTGAGAAGTTTTTGTTGTTCATTTCAGTGCCACTGCTTGATGATTCTCCAAAGACAGCAAACCGCTGGAATGTTTTTTCTGCTTCTGATGCCATGGTCAACTGGAGGTGAGGGAGGAGAGTAGTGAGGGGAGACGTAGGGGTGAGGGAGGGGAAGGGAAGACTGAAGGGAGGGGAATAAGGACTGGGGTTAAGATAAAATTGGAATCAGCAACAGGAACAAATCCCTACTCCCTTTCCTCTCTACCCTCTTCTCTCTTACTCCCATTCCACCCACTGTTCTCAGCACTAGGGGTACTAGTGTGAATCTTGCATTCTGAGTAATCACCACCACCACTCACATCCCCACCACTTTTGGTACCTAGGAGTACCCGGATGGTGTCTGACCCTTCCTTCGTATGGATATGTGGGAGCCTGCTGGCTGGGGAGACTGTGATAATGGGGAGACAGACAGGGGAGGAGATGGAAGGTTCTATGACCTCAGTAGTGTTTATGTGACATCACCTTAGCTATAGTCCTGGTTTTGGGAGGAGGGGTGTTTTGGTTTCCCTACCAAATGTGCAAGTTACCAACCTTCTGATCTCTCCAGATGATCAGACTTCCCAAATCATCCCAGCCCAGCTTGATCAAGTGTGCTGGGGCCCAGTCAAATCGCCTTATGCTCTGCCCCTCAACAAAGGTTGAAGAGAGCCCAGGGAAGGGGTTAATAAAAACAGTTGGCATCAGTTCAACATTACCTTCCTTTCTCCTCTCCAGGCCCAGGCCAACATGGAGAATTCCACTGGCTTTGGCAGACCAATCTCAATGGGAACTTTAGATGGCGACCAATATCGGGCCCAATGTGGAAAGGGCATGGGTCTTGGAGTATAACAGATCTGCGTGAGTCAGGGTGAAATAGGTCAGGGTGAGCCTGAGTCTCAGACTCTGAAAGTCTTCCAGATAAGTTTCTGTGCAGGTCAAGAATGCTCCTCAGGGGTTCTTCTTCGGCTTTTTCTCTAGCCAGAAACTGTATAGATGGATAAACTTCAGGGACCTTAAAGTAGAGCAATTAGGTTGGTGACTTCCTCTCCTTTCTGTCTAAGCAGTCACCAGTTCCTATAAATGTTTTTTCCTTGTCTTATACATCCATTCCTTTTTTTTCCCGTTGCTATTACTCTCACACTTTTTGAAGTCTTTGTCATATCTAGGTGATTATGCTGACTTCTAAATGATCTCTTTCCTACGTTGAATGCTGTATCCCCACCTACCCTATGATTCATCTCTATTAACCCCTCCAACAGATTACTTTTCACAAAACTATTTTTTATTCACTACTGCTCAAGAACACTCTGTGGATCTTTGGTGCCAAACTTTTTTTCCTGTCATTCAAGGACCTTCATATGTGGCCCCAATCTATCTTACTAAACAACACCCACCTCTCATCAATATCATTCTTCATCTGGGGCAATAATGGCCTAATCACTACATACTTGTGAGGCTACCTCATAGTGGAAAGAACATACCCTTGGAGTGGAATGAATCTGGGTGAGGATTTGAGTCCTAAGTTTGTCACTTATTAGCTGGTTGGTCTTGGGTAAGTCACTAAACATCTCCGAGCTTTAGTTTTCTCATCTGTACAGGAAGGATAATAATACTTAAACTGTGGTATTGGGGGATAATACATGTGAAGTACTTTGCACAAAGCAACTACTATTCCATTCTTCAAAATAACTTGTGTATTTCTGCCCCCCAAATTTTCCCTCATGCTCTCTCTTCCTGGAGAGAATACTCCTCTCTCTTATTTATACTCCATGGCTGCACTTGTCGTAGGGTGGCTCACCCTAGGAACAAACCCCTTTTCTTCCTCTGAATTATATTAAGACAAGGTTCCGAGTCTGTGGGCCACGGCCTCTTGGGGTGAGGATTTCTGGATTATTACAAGGGCCCTTGGAATCGATATGTATATATGTTGATTGTCAACTGAATAAACAATATGCTTTGTGCATATAAGTATTACTATAGACAAAGATACCGTGATTATCAGAACATTATACAAACTTACTTGAAATTATTGCTAAATTCATGGTTTGTCTTTATCAGAATATTAAAACCTTCATGTGGGAATGGAAATCTCTGAACTCTCACTTGAGAAGCGTGGGAAACTATTGTCATAGGACTTACTGTTTAAACAATTCATCTTATACATAGGCCATTTTTCTTAACTTTTTCTCTCTTTACCTTCTCTCAACTATTTCATCATAAGCTTCTAGAGAGAGTATGACTAGACTTCACACTTCTTTGAATTCCATCTATACAGTGGCTTCTCATAGCAAATACTTAAAATTGTTGCTTAGTTGAAGGTAAAGTTTGAAGCCACTTCTGGCCCAAGAGAAGGAAGTTAGCTTGAGAGGTTATCTTTATTGGGCCATTTATACAGGGTTTGGCTGGGACCTGCCCTGACAAGGAGTAACCCTATCTTAGAGCAGAAGCAGCCTCACTTCTGCCTGCAGCAGGCTGAGACCCCTGCACCTAGGAAGCAAACAGATCTCAGTGGAAATTTCCTATCTCCTGCCCGCCCCACGCCCCTGCCTAGGCCCCTTATCAGGTTCCCCCTGAGTCATCCTGACCCAGAGACGAATTTAGATGCTGGAACCTCCAGGTCCTTCCCTCCCCCACTCCAAGTAAGTCTACTTTAGACACATCAGAGAAGGCAGCAAACAAAAAGTTCTCCCTCTAGACATTCTTTCTCCCCCAGTTCCAGGAGGGCTGGTGAGATTTCTCTCCTGTCCTAGGCATCTTTATGTACGATCTAATTCTAGCAGCTTTTCCTTGTCTGGGAGTGTTA